GCTTCACCAGAGCGCTTCTATCATTTATCATTCAACATGGGCTAAAAAAAGTTTTATCACAGCGACACATAATGTGTGGGCTCCTTCCCACCGTGTGTGTGTGGGTGTCGACAAGGGGAGAGGGAGGGGGCAGGGGGTAGGCCGGAGAGAAGGGGGCGGGCGAGAGGGGCGGTGCGGGCTGACGAGGCAAAGGGATGGGTTGGGTAGGGGAGGGAAAGGGGGTTGAAAACGCTGCGCGAAGTCAAATCCCTTGCAAAAAGCAGCAGAACCAATCGTGGCCTGGGGGCAGCGGCGCAACCGTGGGGGGAGGGTCACGGAGCACGCCGGCCAGCAGGTGAAAAGGGGATGTGCAGTGCAGGAATGTGGCAGAGGAGGGAGAAGAGGGTTTGAGCAAGTGAGGTCACGACTCCCAAAGTAGATATCGAATAGGTCGGCTGGTAGTCACATTATTATTATTATTGTTATTTACAGAACACTCGCACTCTAAATGAGGAGAAGTACTGTAACCGATAGCATCACTCCGTTTTTGAGTAGGTTGATTGTTTTCTATATTTAGCAGTCTACTCATGCGATGCGAGTGACATCTTTCTAAACACATGTTGGGTCTGGCTGCCAATAGGAATGACGCACTCTGCGCTTTGTGATTGGGCCATATAGTTGTCGGGTGGGAGAAGAGGAGGAAAGAGAGTGAAGAAGAGTGAAAGCGATCTGGTCGTGACTGCACGACACGTACTACAGCCGTACTACACTGCAACGCGCCTCTCCCCTGTGCGTGTGTGTGTGTGTGAGAGCGTGTGTGCGTGTGAGTGTATGTGTGTGTTCGTGTGCGTGTCACCGTACGTGTGTCCGTGCGGCGCGCTGACAGAGAATCAGATTCCTCCGAGTTGGCGGCTGCCCCGCTCGGCCCTGGCTCCCGCCCCCGGCGGGGCCCGCCGCCTGCTACGGGATCTTTTCTTCCCGTTTCCTCTCAGATAAAAGGGGGGCCCATCAGGCGACCCCTCTCTCTCACCCCCTCCCCCCTCCTCTCTCGGTCTTTCTCTGGACCCGTCTGAGGTTTGGAGAGCCCGGCTGGGCTGGGATGGAGTGGAGGTGGTGGAGGGGGTGGGGGGAGGAGGTGTGCCCCCTTGGCTCTTGTTTGTCCAACGGGGCCCTGCCCGGCGGGGACTCGGCTCAGCTCTAAGGTGGCGGCTCCGAAAAGGTTCACTGACGCGGACGCAACGGGCTTGAAATAAAGAAAAGTCGTAGCGGAATAAAGGTACTTTTTTAAAAACAAAAAAAAAAAAATTTCCTTCTTTTAGGAACAACCCAATGCCTTGGCGGCGCCGAAAGACAGCAGGAGCAGGGCGGTTGTCTTAACGGAGAGGATCGGCTGTGCACGGCAGCAGCAGCAGTAACGCCTCCGGGCAGCGTCCGGGACCTGCGAGTGCCTCTACCGTGGGACCACAGGGTGCGGCGGCGCTGCCGCCTGCACACGGAACTTCTCCTCCTCTCGCCGAGCCGTAAAAAGGTTTCGGCAAAAGAGTTTGCGCGTGTGCAACTGCTTGCGAATAACTTGCAGCAGAGGGGGGCCGCCGCGGAGCCGGCCTCGCCGCCGCGCACCCGAGGAGGCATAAACCCGCACTTTATACTTGAACTGCCCCCCGCCTCGCCTCTTCTGTTTACGCGCGGCCCCCTTCCCCGCCTGCCCCGCCGGCCGCTCTCATCAGAGTCTTTTAGTGACGCTTGTTCAGGGATAAAGTTGTTGCCGACGCTATGGCGGGCGCAGGGGCGGCCAGGCAGGCAACCTGGCAACCGAGAAGGATGGGCGGGACGAGGAGAAGAGGGGGAGGCAACGTCATCAGACACGGACGCGGGGGGCGCATAGCGTCGTCCGCTACGGCGTGACGCGGCTCGGCGCAACTTCCGCCGCGGCAGGTAGTCAGTCAGCCAGTCACACGAATATCCCCCCCGCAGCGCAGCGCGAAAACGCCTCGAGACCTGCTCTTGCTCTTCCTTCTCCTCCTCCTCGGTGTGCGCGCGCGCGCGTTCGCCCCCGCCTGCCAAGTCGAGAAAAGAGTACTCCGTCATTCTGCGACAGAGATTTCTCCGAGATTAGGGGCGCGCCAGGGCCAGGCAGAGCCCCCCATGGAACCTTACCCCCCACCCCCTCTCGCCGTAAACAGTGACGAACAATGGCACGAAGGAGGAAAAACCGCACGTGATAAATATTGCATAATTCGTCAGGGGTGAAGTAGGGAGGGAGGGGGTGCATCGAAACTTGGCCGTTTAAAAAGTGACAAACTGCTCTGATACCGGAAGAATGGTATGGTAGCCTGGGTCGTGTCGTACAACGATTGCTGCAGACGTTTCATCAAAATAAAAAGAGACGGAAAAATATAATAAGGTAGCGACCGCAAATGTAACACGGGCAAGCGGGGGGTGGCCCAGGGACTTTGCAAGGGACGGGGGAAAAGTGACAGTCGGCGCGCAGGGATTGGGGCAAGATGGCGGCGGCGGCGGCATAGCGCGGGAGCAGGAGACACGAGGAACTTGGCCTCCCCAGTGACAGCCAGATTGCATGTAAATTGCTGTCAATCATAAAAGGGGCAGCCTGAGGCGGCCGGGCGCGGCCGGGCGGCCTGCCGCCGATCCATTCGCTTCGCACGCTGGTGCAAGGGAGAGAGAGAAAGAGAGAGGGGGGGGGGGGGGGGGGATCAGCTCCCGGGAAGCAGCGCGAGGGTGAGTTCCGGCTGTGTGTGCGGAAGCGCGGCGGGGGGCGGGGAGGAGGTTCGGGGTCGGGTGCCAAGGTGGGCTAAGCGGCCCTACGGGACGGACTCGTCCCGGCCGATTGAAACGCAGCAGGATCGTGTTGCCAAACATTGTTTTATCATCGGTACAAGAAGAATAATATAAAATAAGTAGAATAATAAAAAAAAATAAAAACAAACTAGTGACAAAGCACCCTTGCTTCGTAAAAGAATAAAGAGAAACTTTGTCTACATGTCAAAATAGGCCGGCGCAATTTTACAAATCAGACACGTTTGAAGAAGCCTTCAGCTTTCTTTGTTTGGGGCATGATATTCAGTTTTTAGCCGGAGTTTATCGGGAAATGTTACCTGATTTTGGCGTCTTTACCCAAAATGCATGCTGTATAGAGTAGTGTGTGTGTGTGAGTGTGTTTGTGTGTGTGTGTGTGTGTGTGTGTGTGTGTGTGTGTGTGTGTATCTGTATTTATGAGTTCGCAGGAGTATGAGTGAGTGTGTTTGTTTCTGTATTCCCCTCGGTACTCCCACCGCCGTGGAGCGCAGACGCCGAGGTAATAATCACCTCAGCGGAATGGCAGACACTTTCTTTCCGGCGAGTAGTATTTTATTTTAGGTGCAAAGTTTGCCGCCCGGGTTCGCCTGTTATTTAATGCATTTGTTTTCCCTCCGCCACTGCTGGGGAGGGATGTGGTGGTGGGGAAGTGCGAGGCGGAGGAAGGGAGAGGGAGGGGGGTTAAGGGTGAGGGGCGAAGACGGCAGCAGAACGGGACGGGTCGGGTGGACAAAGTTTGATCTGACTTGATGGAAGGGAAACTTACTCGCTCGCGAACGGGGACACCAGCGGAAGCAGCGGTGGCCGTGATAAAAGAGTTTCCTCCCGACTGCCAATCGAATTTCTCGCTTCGTGGCAGGGACCTATGGGGAGGTCATAGTGTGTAGAGGCCCCCGTGTGAGTGAGTGTGTGTAAGTGTGTGTGTGTGTGTGTGTGTGTGTGTGTGAGCGAGGGATGGAGAGAAAGGGATAAGGAAGGGCGGGAGTCCGAGTCCGTCGTGTGCGTCGTATCCTTCCCCTCAGCCGCTACACAGCCTTCCCTCACGGAAGGTAAAGCACGCAACACTTGATTCTCTCTCCCCTCTCCCTCCTCCGCCACCCCTCATACGCTACCCCCAACCATCTCAGCAGCAAGAGTTCCTTTCCACAACAGATGGCGGCAAATCGTAGGGAGCGGCGCGCTGCACTTTTGCCCGTTCAATATACTGTATATCCGAGCCGAGAGCCGAGCCGAGGGGGGGCGAGCGAAGGCGCCTGGGAGTCGGCCCGTCCCGTCACGCACGGCTGTCGGGCGGGTGTGCCTACCCCGCGCTCCACAGGCGCCGTCCGCGCGCCGCCACCGTGCAGCATAGCAGCGCTACAGCTCTGATTGAGCCGTTCAGAATGTAACAACCGACATCACATTATAGTAAACTCGCACATAAGGAATGTTAGTAACTAACTTTGGTATCCAGCGCGGTACCCAGCAATGGCGATGGCAGCACTCGTGCGCGTACCGCAGAGAGCTCGCGCGGGCGCGCTTCCATCCGCAATACACACGCGCGGCCGTGCGGCAGACACCGGATGAGCGGGGCTCCCCGGGACGCGGCACTGAAATATCGCTCCGTTTTGAATGGCAACAAGTCGGTCGTGATTTATCACCCGTATCTTCTTGTGTTTATATTATTTATTCTCGAGCAGGCAGCTTGGGGTCGAGCCGGGCGCGGCGTACCCCTTGCAAATAAATGGCGTACCTCTGCGGCTGCGGCGGCGGTGGCTCGCCCGCCTTTCCCTTTTTATTCTATTTTATTTCGTTGTCCCTTTTGTTTTCGGCGTCAGCGGCGCGCTCGGAATGCATACACCATCGTCTGCCGCGGCGTCGCCGCGAAGGCTATTCATACCTCAAGGCGCGCGCTTGCACATTTCGAGACCCTCTATTCGCATGTGACTTTTTGGTGGGATTCGGAGAATGCTACTTTCGTCGTCGCCACCCTCAAAATACAACACTGTGCATTTTTTCAGACAGTAGATACCACCAGCAATCCTCGGCTAAAGGAAGATCGGCATTAGCACTTTGCGTGGGAGAGGTCTAAGATCTACTCCCGCGTGGACCCAAAAATAAGTGTCCTAGTTTGTTATTGAAAGCATTACAAACAAGGTTTAAAGGTACGTATTGAACTTAGGTATGAGGTATCGCTGCTGCTAACGATCCACTTTGCTGCTTACCATTCGGTCGCCGATGTAGAAGGACAGTTCGGCGGCGGGCTGTGACGGCTGGGCCACGCAGGTGGCAAGCAGCGTCTCCCCGGGGTCATAAGAGTTCTTCGACGTTGTTATATGCGGCGGTCCCTCGGGCTTCACTGCAACACGGAAATTACCAAAAGATAAAGATTTATAAATAAATTCGTAGTTATAAATTGAACAGATACACCGTTAACACAGATCGAGTGAGAGGGTTGTTGGGATGACGGCGATGGGCCGGGACTGTCACTACGCGAACAATGTATTTTTCACGGTATAACCGGTGAACACTTGCATGGCAAGTTACATGGAACTTGTGAGTGTGCAACTACTGAGTTGAAAACTTGGGTTTTCGCTGTTACCCGTGAAAAAAAAAATTGTATACGGCACGTATATGGCGCCATGTATGTCCGGACGCGCTCAAACATATATTTGACATATAACTTGTGCATATATATCCCATATATTGCCATATACGGCCATATATTGGCCATAAGCGCCACGCCATATATGTCTCATATATGGGCCGTGTGGTCAGTTTTTCCTTAAGTTCCTTAGTGACAAATGTTTGCGTACCTTGGTGGATGCATTTAGGGTGCAGTCAATGAAAGTACTTCGCTGGGGAACGTGAAGTAGCAACAAAAAGCTCTAAAGTAACAGTGTTCTCCGAGGAGGGCTATCGTGATTCGTTTTCACAAAGTTTGGGTAATTGGAGTGACAACTCCAATGACGTGCGGAGTCAAGTCAGTTCGGACTTGATTCCACACTTTACAAAAATTTCATCTTCGCTGCGAAGTACTTGGTGTATACCTCACACACGCACGGAAACGGCGCCTAGGTGTCATTAAACCGCGGTTTCTGATCAGCAGCGAGAATAAAATTCAATTACGATTATTCACGACACAGAATGGTGTCTGTTAAAATCCAAGTGTGCATAGCATCAGGGAGGTCATTCCGAAGAGGGTCACAGTTAAAATCGTGACCAAAACTGTCCTTGACGTAATTTTACGGTAGAAAAGACTGTAAAATGTTCTTTTTATCTTAGAGAGCCATCTAGCGGCGAAAATCAGAACTATCTCAATCGATGTGTCGTTATATTAATTACTGTGGCTTGAAGTTAAATCAGGCTAGAGCATTACGATCGGTCGACCAAATTTCGTGCTCATTGCGATATGTATTGAAAGTGATTTTTCGTACGACAACGTCAACGGATATTTACCAATTTTAGACGTTATTGATATCTAACGTGATCTTCCCATATACGGCGAATTTCCGACATAGATGCGTGCTCCAAACCCATATATGATGACATATATGTTCACAAAATGGACCCATATACGGCAGACTACCCCCATATACGTCGAATTTCTCCCATATACAGTAAATGCAGCCCATATATGGTAGCATATATGTCCACATATATGGCACTGTATATGTAACATATACAGCATCTTCCGGTCATATACGGGACGTGTATGGGAATTATATGGCACATATACGTTTCGTTTTTCACGGGTATCAGTGTATCCCGAGCGAGAGAGGACGGTGACCTCTCCGTCTGTTTTACACTTTGCATCGCCCACTCCTCTTCCGTCGCCGCTCTCGCCCGGAACCCCCGGAGCAAGCTGTCAAATCTATATCGAGCAGGCCAGCCTTAAATAAATAAACAAAGACAAAAACACGCGACGTGTGTTCGTGCGAGAAAAATGGAAGTATTTTGTTGAAAAGTGACTGGTCTATCGTGTGGGGCCCGTCCCGGCTGGCGTGATGGAGGGGAAGGGGAAAAGGGGAAGGGGCAGCTGTTGATACAAGGCTATTGTGATGACGGCGGCCGAGGCCCGGCCCGACCCCCACTTCCTGGCCAAGCTCTCAGCAGGGAACTAAACGAGTCGAGTGAAGGGAGCCAGTAGTAGTAGTAGTCGAATCGAATCGCGTCGAAGTGGTCGATTGTATCGAATGGCTGCACTCAGTCCAGCCTGCAGCCCGGTCCTTAAAGGACACTGCAGTAAACATGAAAAGCCCACCCCAGCTTGTCTACGCCCGGGCGCCAAGCGGCCCAAGACGATCTTTAATCCCTCCCCGCTGTATTATTCAGGGCCCCCGACTCAGCGCTGTCCGCAGCCTAAAACAACTACGAGTTTGATCTCTTTTCTCTTCCCAGCCCAGCATCCCTTCACGCTTCTCTTCTCTCCGACGATGACAAACGGACTCCCGCGCCAGCCCGCAGCCCGCAGCAGCCAGGTCCCGCTTGAACCCCCACACGGCCCACGGCGTTCAAAGGAATGTCTGAACAGGTCATAAGGGTACGCCCTCTGACAGCACGCCGGCGTCGCTCTGCCATTTTGGACCGCACAAGTCTCAGTCGGGGAAAGAAGATTTGCATGGCCGACGTGACCTTACACCATGCACATTTGCGAGAGTGACGCCCACGCGGGAGAGCTTGGCAGGGCGAGGCGGGCGTAGAGGTTCGAGACCGGGCGCAAAGCCCGGCTCAGGCCCCGCTGCTGGCTGGCAGGGGAGGCGAGGGCCCACAGGGTTGTCATGTGAGGTGCCATGCAGCGTCTCGGGAGGTTGCGTGTCAACTCTACTTGGTATTGCGGCCGCACGTAAACTCGGTAGGAGAGGAAAGAAAGAGAGAGCGCGCGAGGTTAGGGGAGAGAGAGAGAGAGAGAGAGAGGCGGAGTTGCGCGGCGGCGCCTCAAAGCTACATGCCAACCACAACAGCGTGTTCCGGAAGCGTGTATACCTCCATTGTGACAGGTCGAGTCTCTTCTCTGCCACCGCCGTGCCAGGCTGCGCTACGCTGCGCCTCGCTGCGCCTCTCAGGTCGCACTTCAAACAAACACAATCCCCGGCAAGACAGCCGGGGGAGAAAAGGAAGCGGAGAGACCACAGCAGACACTTCCTACCTTTCGCTGGCAGCCTGCGAGCTCGTGTGGGTGTGAGCTTGAGTGAGAGTGTGTGTGTGCGTGTGAGAGTTCGCGAGTGTGTGTGAGAGAGAGGAAGAAGGCGACCGACTCGCCTGTGCGGTGCCTTGATGTGGCTCGTGCACTCGAGTCTCCTCCAGCTGCTTCCCATCCTTATCTCTCTCTCGCTCTCTCTCCCTCTTTCTCTCTCTCGCTCACCTTCTCTCATCTGCTCGCGAAGAAGAAGAGCGGCGAAATGCCCTGGGGGAAGACCTCTTAACGCAATCAGGGCGTCGAGGCGAAGGTGATGATAATATACGCTTTAGGGAGGTGACGCAACAATCCCTCCCCCGCGCGAGCAAATATACTTCACCCACCCTCTTAATTTCGTAATCTGTGAGCTCGATGCCCCGGCTTTTTTTGCCATAAAAGAGGGTCTGACAAATTCGTCATAATAATAGGCTCATGACCCGCGTGAGGGATCGCTGCCTGTCGTGGGGTCGAAGGTCGCCCGTCCGTCGAGGCCCAGCGGCCCACAGGGATTGTTGCGTCGGCCCGTGATTGGCACGTCGCCCCGACCTTGGCGGTAATGGCCAGACCGACCCTGGAACTTTACAAACACACGCGCGCGCGCGCGCGCGCGCACACACACACACACACACACACAAGGTGTAAATAGGCGTAGAGGGGGAAACATTGAAGGGTAGGAAGGGGGGAGGCGTGGAAACACTGTAGCCAGGTGTGATGTTAAGGCGGGCTGTGTGGGTGTGGGAGGTGCGAGGCGCAGGTTAACAGTGGGCTGTGTATATGCTGTGGCCCTTATGGACGCCGGGCTCGGCTTGAGGCGGGCCAAGGAGGTGCGGGAGCGGCGACGGCGGTGGGGCTCTGCGCGCCGGGCCGTCGGGCCCGGGACACGAGGAAGAGGAGGCAACGGTTTGATTCACGGCAGCGAAAACACGTCGAGCGGGCGGCTGTGCTGGGATACACACTGGCTGGGCGCAGCGCCGCCGCCGCCGTTACGTCGGATGGGGCGTGGCGCGGCGTGCTGGGGCGGGGAGCAGCCTCTCATGGGGCCTAGGCCGCGCTCAAAATCACCGCGCCCGTAACTTTGTATGAGCTGTTGGGGGGCCGCCCCCGACTCGGCCCCACCAGCCAGGATACTGGGGCGTGGCGTGGCGGGGCGCGGGCCGCTCTAGAGGCGGCGGCGGCGGCGCCGGGCGTCTTTCCGATGAACTTTGCGAATACTCGAGCAGCACCTCAAGCTCGCGAAAAGTTTCGGCCAAAGGTGGAGGTAATTCGTCTGCGTGATTAAATGCCCCGCGCCCCCGGGCTTGGGAGAGTGAGATCGCTGGAAAAGGGGGAGGAGGGAAGGGTGGTCTCTAGATTAGAAGGGTGGAGGGGAGGGAAAACCTTGTCCGGCAAAGCCAGTTATATATAAATATTTCGTTGAACAAAACGCCCTCACCTGGCCGTAAATCCGAAGTAAATCCAGATTGTTAAGAAACAAGTAAGTATGAAAAAGTTTTGTGCGTAGTATACAACAGCACAGAAACAACACAGCAGGGCAGTACGGTAATAGTAGACTGCAGGGTTGGGTCGGAGAGATGAGTGTGTGTGAGCTTGCGGCCGCAGTGACACACTATGATGAATGGCTGTTCGTGTCGGTGATTAGCCTGTACAGCGCCCTTACACATGGCCGCGCACACAGCGACGGATGGCATCAATATTTTTCAGCGGCGCGGCGCAGCAGCAGTATTGTGGAAAACCTGATGTTGAGTCGGGAGGGGGGCGAGGATGAGGGCGCCGGGGGCTCACACCCATGCGGTTTGCGCGCGTTAATCAGGCCTCGGTAATGCCGAGCGTGCCGCGCTTGCCATTCCCCTCCCCGCATATTTGTGTGGCTATCATCTACCTCGCACGAAAGCAATCATGATTGGGACCGCGCGCGCACTGCTCTCGTATGGCGAGCGGGACTCATATTATATGTGGGAAACGGAAACAAAAGAAATGCGGACGGAAACTGGTCACCTCTCGCACATTTTTTGCTGTTGTTGTTGTGTTGTTTCTTCCCGTTTCTTGAAACAAACCTATAGTGAGACAGCACTTTTGTGAGAACATGTCGTGTGTTACCAAAATGCTCGTGTAGATATCGCCGCCTATCGATACCCGCTTCGCCCTCTCAGACCCCCTCTTTACCCCTCCACCACCTTCAG